TTTTTTTTTTTTTTTTTTGGTACCGGGGATCAAACTCAGGTCCTTGCGCTTGCCAGGCAGGCGGTGGAACCACTGAGGTAAATCCCCAGCCCTCTTTTCCTACTTTTAATAAATGTAAAACCTTGTTACCATTTGCTCTTGTCTTGATCAATTCTTTGCTCAGGACAGAAAGAAGCTATAAGCTACCTCTAGGAGTCTCCAGCATTCCCAAACCTGGTCACAATACCTTTCATCTTTACTGTAAGCTACTATATACTGCACACATTTATATTAGATGAGTTCTTCTTTATATTATGACAAAATATTACAATCAGCACTTTTTGAGGCTCAGGAGGTTCAAACCGAGCCTGGACAACTTAGTGATGCAGCAAAACCCTGGGGGGTAGGTGGTGTGTGCTAGACTGGTTGGTGATGGAGCTCAGTAGGAAAGCTCTAGGTTCAATCTGCACTATTAAAAAAAAAATACAGTTTATCTGGTTAAAATAAAACCCCAAAATTTAATGTATGGCACCAGACGCAAGGTCTGTTTTGCCAGAGTCCTGAACACCGCTGCTTTTGCAAATGATTTTGCTTGCGTGTTTCTCTCATCCCAGCCATTTCTTTCAACATCAGTCTCCAGCGATGAAGACTCGGGAGAAGCAGCCACAGTTCCTGTGCCCCGAGTTTACCAAACGCTCCACCGCACCAGGGAGCCAGGCCAGGCAAAGCGCCTTTTAGGCCACTCGACTGCGAATCTGTTTACATACTCCACCCATCCTACTCCACCCACCCCCGCCCGGTGACAGGAAGGGACCAGGGTGAGTCCAGCACCAGCGACGGGGATCTGGGAACAGCTGAGAGGCCAACAACAGGCCAATAGCGCACAGCGGCCCCAACACTGCCACCGGTGGCTGTCCCGGTACATTGCCGGCCCGCTGGCTAGAGACCCCTTTTGCGCAGGCGTGTTGCGGGGGGAGGGATGGTGAGATGGAAGAATAAAAACCTTCCCAGGATCGATTCCGCTCCCCTTTGACGTCCCGAACCCCAATTCATCGCCTCAGCCAACGCCAAATCTGTGGGATTTAAGTATTGTTAGTCTGGATACCATCTCAGTCCCTACCACTGGCAACCAGGAACAAATTCCACCCCTGCGGAGGGGTGACAACAGGCTTTTTTCAAACGGCAGACCCACCTCTTTTGAGTCTTCTCCGCCATGGTACAGCCCTGGTCTCCAATTGGAGCGGAGATCGACACATCTGCCTGGATAGAGCGATGATCTCTGCACGCGATTGCAGAGCCTGGCAGGGTTGGGAGAGGGGCGGAGCCGTGGGGCGGGGCCGAGGTGTCCCTGCTCCCGGTACCGGGAGACCTTGGGTGCCTCCCGAATTTTATCACTGTCCAAAGACTGATAGACTCAAATTTGAAATACGTTTATGTCACTCTATTGCGCATCGCTGTGACTTCCTTTTGCTTCCTACCGTTCGATACTCGTGATCACATCCTACTTCTGTCCCTCCTACTGGGTGTAGCTTTTCGGTCTCCCTGCTTTCCTCTAGGTGTGAGGATTCTTCCTACCAGGCCCTGGGCCTTTCTCCTGAGCAAGATTGTTCTTCCCATAGGTTAAGTGCTGTCCTCTCCCTGCTGGCGTTCTCGAATTATATCATCGCTATTTCGTCCTCTGCTGAGCTTCACACCTATGGTTCGATCGACTATTTGGCATCTCCATTTGGATTCCTGAAAGTCTTTCAAGCCTAAAACGTCCAGAACGGGAGCTGTGGGTTGATAACCTTAACCTTCCTTCAAACGGTTGCTCTTTCATCTCCATCTCAGTAATGGAATCCACCTTCACCCAGGTGCTCAAGCCGGACTGAGTCATCCTTGGCCCTCGTCACCTATGTGTGTGATTCACCTTCAAGGTCTGCCTGTCCTACTTCTGAGCCTCATTCTCCCACTTTACACCATTTACCACACTATCTCTAGTCTGAACCCAGCCACCTTGTCTGCTCCTTCCGTGCTTGATCCTTAAAATCACACCCAAAAATGTTCTCCAAAGCTGAGCATGGTGGTCCACACCTGTAATCCCACCACTCTGGGAAATTGAGGCTGGAGGATCGCAAGTTTGCTCAGCCTAGGCAACTTAGTGACTTAGTGAGACCCTGTTTCAAAAAATGGGGTGGGGATGTAGTTTGAAGGCCCTGGGTTCAATCCCCACTACCACAAAAAAGTCCCCCCAAAGCTTTATGTGCTCAGAAGTGGGGCTTTTGGAAGGTCCTGGATCATGGCGTGCCATACTTATCAGTGGATGAATTTGTTGATAAATTCGTAGCTGAATGTGCTGATAGGTGGAACCTGGTCAAAGGAGGTGGGTCACTGGGGATGTGAGCTAGAAGGGTGTATTCTTGTCTCCAGTCCCTTCTCTCCTTGTCTTTCTTCCTCTTTCTCTCTGCTTCCAGGTAGCCACGGGATAAACATCTTTCCTCCCCCATGCTCATCCTCCATGCTGTTTCTGTCTTGGAGCCTCCTGACCATGGATGGAAACCTCAGAAACAATGAGCCAAAAAAACCTTTTCTCCTTTGTGTATGTCAGGTACTTTGTTCCAGCAATGGGAAGGCTGACTACTTCAATCCCTATCCTCCCAATTCAAGTCATTCTCTGGTAGTCAAAATCATCCTTTTTTATTTTATTATAATGTTTTTGAGACAAGGTCTCACTATGTAGCTCAGGCTGGTCTTGAACTCACTGTAGCTCAGGCTAGCCTCAAACTCTTGGTGATCCTCCTACCTCTGCCTCCTGAGTGCTGGAATTACAGACGTGTGCCACCATGTCTGTCTAAAAATCATCCTTTAAAAATGAAATCCAGGGCTGGGCATGTTGGCACATGACTAATCAATCCCAGCTACTTAGAAAGTTGAGGCAAGAGGTTTGCAACTTCAGGGCAGCTTGAGCAACTTAGACCTTGTCTCAAAAAAAAAAATCCAGTTATTTTACATTTTATAACATATCTCTGGGATAGGTCTAGCCCCAGCTTGCTTCTTTCTTCTAATATCTCATGCTCCTCTTCCTCTTTTCTGAGCTCAATTGCAACTCCTTTCTCCAAGGAGCCAAGGTAACTCCAACCCCTATTGATTCCACTCATCTCCAAGACTTTCTGACTCTTTAGATGTCACATTATCAGTTTTCAACAAGAGAAGCAGAATACGGAGAGATGTGTAGCCAGGTGTCATGGTGGTGCACACCTGCAAGCCCAGCACTCGGGGGGCTGAGGCTGGAGGACTGCTTTGAGCTCAAGGCCAACCTGGGTTACATAGTGAGTTCAAGGCCAGCCTGAACTACGTAAGGAGACCCTGTCTAAAAAAAAAAAAAAAATGTGTGCAAGAGGCTTATGGAAAGAAATTGGCTTATGTGATTGTGTGGGCCTGGTTAGGCAAGTCCGAAATTGTAGACCAAGCTGGGACATTCAGGCAGAGGGTGAGGCTACTGTCTACAGGCAGAGTTTCTTCTTTGGGGGAAGCCACAATTCTGTTCTTAAGTCTTTTCAACGAATGTAGTGAGGCCCACCCAGGTCATCAAGGATAATCTCTCTTCCTTAAAGTTAACCAGTTACAGACTTTCATGATACCCACAAAACACTTTTATCGACCACTTTCTTATTGGATGACTGGGGACTGTAGCCTAGCCTAGCTGACACAAAAATAGATCCATCATACTCAGGAAAATTTATAGACAAAAGAAATCTACTGCTCCCAGTTCAAGAGGCTGGGAAGTGGAAGATCAAGGCACTTGAGATTCTCTGATGAAAGGTCCAGTCCTCATAGATGATTCTTCTTGCTGCATGCTGACATTGTAGAAGGGGCAAACAGCTCTTTTACAAGGACACTAATCTGATTTGTGAGGGCAGAGGCTTCATGACATAATCGCCTCTCTCAGTCAGCTTTCCATCACTGTTGCAAAAAGCCTGAGAAAATTGAGATGAGGAAAGGTTTACTGTGGCTCAGTTTCAGGGGTTTCAGTCCATGGTCACTTAGCCCTGTTGCCTATGGGCCTGTGGCAAGGCAGTACATCCTGGTAGGGAGCATGTGGCAGAGGAAACTGCTTGGGCCAGAATCACAATAAACTCTTGAGAGCACACCCTTAACAACATAACTTCCTTCCACTAGGCACCACCTCCTAAAGTTCTGCAGGCTAGAGACCAAGCCTTCTATACCTGGGGGGACATTCATGCAAACCACAGCAAACAGTAGCCCACGAATGTTCATGAGTTTTACTATTCACTTATTTTACCTCCAACTACATCCAACCGATCTGCTTTATATACCATGCTTTTCCATACTTTATCAAATTTTCATAAACATTCTATTGAGGCAGGCACTATTAGGTCTAATTTTAAGCATTGGAATAGAGAAATGACTTGCTCAAAGTTCTCCAGTCATTAGGAGCTTTTGTGTTTTCTCTTCTGTTCAGAGCTGGCTCTCTCTAAGATGTGGTCCTGCCCCTTAGATTATCCTGTGTCAGATGTAGCTTCCTGTCCTGTATTTAGGCTGCTTGTTCTTGCAGGTAGCCTGGGAGATGAAAAACAGCAGGTCTGAGACAACTCTGTAATGTGTAATGCCTTGGCCTCAGCAGGTGGATCCATTAGCCAAAAGATGGCTTCTCATTCTTTTTTTTTCTATTTTTGTAACATTTTATATAACTCATAAAACAATGCTTGTATAAAAATTCACACAAAGTTGCTAGAGAGAATACAATTTCCAAAAATGTTCTGGGTTTTTGTTACATTCAGTTTTATAAAGATGTACTCAAATCAATGGTAAAATGCAGAAAGTATTCAATAGTGCATTAGCTTTGGTAAAACTATCCTCAATACTTTGTCTCCTCACAATATTAACTCTGATAGCTACTTTGTGCAGGGTCTGCTCTTACTAGGATGTCAGAAAAACATTAAGGCTGAATCTGTAAGAGCAAGTATTTTCAAATAGCAGAAATGGCCCCCAGGCCACGCCCCCATACTTGAGAATCATGGATCTTACACAGCCTGACAGGCAGCCTGCCCCCAGGAGTCTCAGGACCCCTCCCAACTGGGCAAGAAGCAACCCCCTTTGGGGAAAGGTAGAGGCTGAGGCCATCACTTCAGGGACCCAAGGGGCTAAGCCACGATGGGGTCAGGTCCTCCACTCTTACCAAACAGCCAGCCTCATCACTACTAAGTAGATGTCCTGGTTGGCTGGTGACTGTTGCTACTTGCTCCACCCTCAATTTAAAAAGAAAAGGAAAATTTGGGGCCAAGACTGAAGGGGAAGGACACCACTTTATTCCCTAGGTGGCCTCTCATTCTTGTCTTGCCTCTAGGAAGTTATTTCTGTATTATAGGTCCTGGGCCAGGGATGTAGCTCAGTGGCACTGCTCCTGCCTCAAAAGTGCAAGGTCTCGAGTTCGATCCCCAGTACCAAATAGTAAAACAAAACAAAAACAAAGTACCTCCTCTGTAGAGCTCACATTTTTACCTGTAAGGGTGGGAAATAAATGAACTAAGAAATAGGAATATTGTATAGCATACAATACTATAATATATTCAAAATAATATAAAGAGGAGAGTGGCAGTTAGGAAAGGAAATTTTGTTTTTTTGCCCTAAGAACTTGCCTCCCTTCTTTTTGTTCATATTCTTTTAAGTCCCTGCCCAACCCAGAGAGTTATCTGTGCACAACTGGAAAATGAAATTTTTCATTAACTTAGTGAAGAAAAAATGACAGCCTGATGATTAGAAAGGCAAACAATGTGCTACGTAGACTATGAGCCTCAACTTCTGAAAGCAATGTTTTCAGTACACACAATGAAGCAATATAACACTGAGATGTATTTTGGTTTCCATAGTGCAGTTCCCTTTATAAGAAAGCCAGCTTTTATCCTGCTTATCTCCAGTGGTTCTGTTTGGATTTGTTCGCCCAGACCTCAAACCATATAAAAAGACCAAGGAGAACCTGGTTGCAATTTTTCTTGCCGGAAGATGCCAGAATGATAGCGTCCGTGTCCCACTTCATAATGGATTGGATCGAGCTGTTCTTCCTCCATCCTGTATCATTTTATCAAGGGGCTGCTTTTCCTTTTGCACTTCTTTTTAATTATCTCTGCAACTGGGATTCATTTTCTACTCAGGCCAGGTAGGCTGGATGGCTAATTTTGCTCTTACATCTAGGAATACAATAATAGAGCAGAAAGCACAGAGCGGACTGCATGTGTGAAGATTACGTACCGGTTGTGCTTGTTTTGAGCTCGTCATCTCTGCTACTGATAATTGGTTGCTTGATAATGAACACGTACAATAGAGTAAAACTGGCTTGGAAATTGGTCATGTCTGCATTGACTCAAAGTCTGATAGGCTCGCACTACACGGTAAATGGATGAAGACGGACTCTGGGGAGAGGTGGGGGTTGAGATGGCACAGGAAGCTCCCCAGAAGTGTACCTCTGAGCCAAACACAGATCACAGATATTCTTGGGCAGTTCTGATCTTATGGATTTTGATCATTTTCAATAAAATTAAATCTTATGTTGAGTAACACCTATATGTGATATTTATAACAAAATGTATGATTTCTCTCTCTCCTCCCTCCTTCCCTCCTTCCTTCCCTCTTCCCTCTCTGTCTCTCTACCCCCTCTTTTTTTCTTTCAATTTTTTTGGCAGTGCGAAAGGATTAAATTCAGGGCCTTTGCAATGAGTCATATCTCCAGCCATCCTCTTCTCCTTTGCAGTACTGGGCTATTGAACTTGGGGTCTTTGCACTGAGTGACATCCCCAAAACTTAAAAGAAATTTTTTTTTAAATTTTGAGACAAGGTCTTGCTAACTCACTAAGTTGCCCAGGCTGGGCTCAAATTGGGATCCTTCTGACTCAGCCTCCCACAGTGCTGGGCTTATAGGTGTGCTCTATCACAGAGGGCTCCTTTGTATGATTTCTTGGAGAAATAAGTCAAAACAAATCTTGATAGATTTGCTATATCTCAATGGGGGTTTGATTTGGGTTGTCACTAGAGATTTGTTCACTTGATTGTGATGATTTTTTAATCCAACAAATTTCTTTCATTAGAAACAGTCCCTATTTTTAAAGTTTTAGTGGAATATTCTTTTGTAAGGTGAAAATTCATTTGTCCACAGGCCATTTCCTAATAATTTTCTAATTTGGGAAACTATAATTTTTATATATGAGGGTTTCTTAAAATCCAGCTGTAACTAGTAATCATGACTGCTGAGTTTGTATGGTATATTGTCACATGGTTGATGGCCCTTACTTTCATTTTTGGGAGGTGGGGATTGGGGAACAGTTATAAAGAAGTTTCCTGTTGAGAAAGAATCACAAAATAATGAAGTAAAATAAAAGTTAAACCCCACGGATTTACCATAGGATTAAGATTGCTCACTTTGGAGTTCTAACTCCCTTACGCACTGAGTGCTCTTGTGTTTGTGAATAAAGCCTCTCTGAGGTGCCCTTTCCTTATCTGTAAAATGGAAATAATAATGCCTGTCTCATTCGGGTTATTTTAAGGATTAAATAAAGATATTTCTCATAAGGGATCATTAGCACAATGTCTAGAATGAAATTAAATGAAATTGAAAGTCCTCAATAAATTATACAGCCTACATTGTATCCATGTATAGATACCTTGGTGTTTATAAATCCCTCTGGGTGGGAGGGATGTGTCTGGCTTCTACTTCTGCTGGGGAAGAGCCACCTCAACCTTAGGATAAAGAAAAACCCAGGGGGCTGGGGATTTGCCTCAGTGGCTCTGTACCTGCCTCGTAAGTGCAAGGTCCTGAGTTTGATCCCAGGTACCGCCAAAAAAAAAGAAAAAAGAAAAGAAAAGCCCAGGAATGGTCCAGAGTTTTTATATACCTGAGTTAGCTATCTACTAGTCTCCCCAAGAAAGAAATTCTTGCCAGTGTGTGCCCAACACCATGACAAGGAGCCATAATATACACCAGTTTTCTGGTTCTGACTTGGTAGAGAAAAAGAAGCTTCTTTGACTCACCTTCTTGGTCTCTGACCAGTCCTTGTTTTATACTTTTTCTGTCACCTTTATTAATTTGGAATCAATTTTTTAAAAAGCCCTTTGTATAAGAACTAAGTCTACATAATATGACATACACTCTTCATCCCGCCAGCCTCTTGAGTTCCTCATGTATTTGATTTCTGAGGAAGGAGTGGTCCACAAACCACTTTTTTGATGTTTACGTCATTTAGAAACACCAACAACAGTGCCTTTCTTCCCTGGCTGTCTGAGGATTAGCTACTATCATAGATGACACAGTAACAATTCTGACCAGGAAGTTCATGACTAACTGACAGCTACAGTGGAAGTGAATAGTCATTGATATCCTTTACCCCAGGAAGACAATAGTATTAAGAGAGAAATTTAGAGAAAACTAGTCAAAATGTAGAAAAACACACTCGATGTTATTTTTGTATTTTGGATTCAGACACTGTTTTGGTGGTGATAAGATGACTGGTGTGACTGATGATTCCTTGGGTTACACAAATCAAAATGAACCCAAGCTTAGACTTGCAAGACATGGCCCATATGAGAAGAAAGACTTCAAGAAAATGGCAGAAGGAATGAAAATAGGATCAAGAAAGTCAGGGGGACTGAGAAGACCAAGGTTGGTGCTGCAAAAAAGGAATAAAGATTCTACAAATCTGAGGCCTTGGGTTCCATCCCCAGCCCTGCAAAAAAAAACAAAACAAAAAACACATGCAAAAATACATACATAAGCTCTAAAATGCAGTAATGACAGTGAAGGGTAGACATACAATTTTTCTGGTTGAGTTTTCAAACACTTATCCAAAGGAGGCATTTAGTCTCCTTTCTGTCTTGGGCTCTCTGAAATGCTTCAAGATAGGGTAAACCCTGTAGAAAGGATTCATGTTGAGAAAAAGAAGTTAGAGAACTCCTCCGGGTCTTCCACATACCTTCTTAGTCAGACAACACACAGGAGATTTTAACAATGTCCCTGCCAGTGAGCCCTCCAGGACTGCTAGGCACAGCAGTGGACGTCTTTGGTGAGAACCACTTGAAGGACAGGCACCCATGAGAGAGTTTCCTAGTGTCACCAAGGCAGGAATCAGGGTTTGTCACCCGAGGTGACAGTTTACAGACTGATTCTGGTTCTTTCTCAGGGTTTCTTTTCTTTGGAAGAACAAAAGGAAGGCTTTGGTATCATAGCAGCATGGCTCCTCTGTGTGTTATGTGGGCCCTACGTTGATTGGTTTCCCTGGACTGAGTTCTGAGGTGGTTGGTTTGCCACACTGTTCCAAGAGTAACGAGGTCTGTTTTCTTCCAGGTACATTTTTCTTCTGGCTGGAGGAGGCATGCTGGCCTTGGCTGCCATGGGTGTCTATTCTGTGCTTGTCTTCATCCCTGCTGTTTGTGCCGTGGTTCTGGTCTCCTCGCTTGGCCCTCAGGAGATCCACAGGTGGACTTTCTTCTTTCAGATGACCTGGCAGACCCTGTGTCACCTGGGTCTGCACTACACAGAGTACTATTTGCAAGAGCCTCCGTCCCTGAGGTATAGCACCCTGCTCCTTTGAGTTGCCCAGATGTTTGCTGGTACAGGGGGAAGAATTTAAGGGCTGGGTTTGAATCCTAATTCTTTCACATTTGAAGAGTGTGGTCATGAGCAAGTTATTTAGCATTTTTCAGACTTGATCTGGTTTTGGGGGAAAAAAATATGGGGATAACAATACCTGTCTTGTAGCCAGGCATGGGAGTGTGTGCATGTAGTCCCTTGCTACTGAGGAGGCTGATGCAAGAGTCACTTGGGCCCAGATTCCAGGCCATCCTGGGCAACATGGCAAGACCCCATCTCAAAAGATAAAAAATAAATAAATAGGAAAGAACAGGAGGAATGGGTAGTAGGAGTCCAGAGCCCACAGACAAGGCACGCCCAGAAGTGACAGCACCGTGTGCTCACCACAGCATGGGCAGTTTAGACATGCAGCCAACAAATAATGTATAAATCCACTATCAACTGTGCTGCCTTCCCATGGTGGCAGCTGCTGTATAACTTTTATCTTCATTCAGTCATTTTAATACCCCAAGAAGGGCAGTCACCCATTCAGAAAAAAACAACAAACAAGTAAGAGCTAATGACAGTTTAGAGAAGTGTCTTATTGTGCTAGTGAGATGGTCATTATTAGGAAAATAAATATCTATGTGCTTTCAAGGTCTCATGTTCCTGGCTCTCTCTAGTTATTAGGTGGATAGTCTGTCACTCAGACTAGGACCTGTGGCCACTCGAGGTAGGTCACGGGATTCTAACCTGCCATTGGTCCCCTCTCTTCCTTTCCATCCCTACCACACCCAGAATCCTGTTGTTATTATACTTTTTGTTGTTGTTATTGTTACCAAAGTCTTCAGGCTTGCTTCTCTGAGGGAAAGGAAAGAAAGGCAAGACAGCAGGTGGGCAGGACACAGGAAATACTGAAAGGGGTGTGGAAGCCAGGGCCTGATAAGGGCTGGAAGAGCAAGTTGAGCAGGATCTGGCTAGATGGGGAGGAAGGCTGATCCAGACCTGAAGTGAGAATGTATATGCTAGTCTACTGGAATTACCATAACAAAGCTCCAGAGACCGGTAGCTTAAATGACAGAATTTGATTTCTTCACAATTCAGGAGCTAGAAGTCCAAGGTGAAGCTTTTGGCAGGATTGGTTTCTTCTGAGGCCTCTCTCCTTGGCTTGTAGATGGTGGCTTCTCTATGTCTTCCCTCTGTATATATCCATGTCCTATTTTCTTCTTAGAAGGACACCAGGCTTATTGAATTAGGGCCACCTCTCTGACCTCATTTTAATCACCTTTTCAAAGTCCCTCTCTCCAAATCCAGCCACACTCTGAGGTACTAGGAATTAGGACTGCAGTATATGAATTTGAGAGAGACACATTCAGCCCACAACAGAAGGTGAATTAGGCGGTGTTGGTGGCATCTGGAGTCTACTTTGCTTTCAGTTAGGATAAATCAAGTGAGGGAGTCAGGTTTGTTTAAAACTTCAGAAACAGGCAAACAGGTGTGGCTGGAAGGTAGCACTGTTTTCTTTCCCTAGGACAGCATTACTGATTAGAGAATTTATCCCTGTACTTTTCACTAATTGTTCTCCACAATCATCTTGTCAGCATAAAACAGTAAGAATTCAGGTGATTGATGAGGAAAGGAACTCAAACTGCTATTGACTCACCAAGTGCCCAGCTCCACTTCTCAGCACAGGTCCCAGATCATGTGGAATCTTGCAGTCAGGGTCTGGTTTCTAGTTAAAACTCTTCAACTTCCGGTAGTCACTCCATGATTAAGTTATTGTTTTGTTTTTGTGGCAAATTTCTCTCAGGCTTCTAGTCATAATCTTTATAAGCCATTCTTAAAATATTATAATCAATATTTCCCTACAATAAATTTCACCATTTACCTTTTCGTTCTTTCTTTCTTTTTTTGTGTGATAATGGGAATTGAAACCAGGACCTTCACATTGAGTCCTAGCCCCTTATATTATTATTATTATTATTATTATTATTATTATTATTTTGAGACAGAGTCTTGCCAAATCACTAAATATCCCAGGTGGGGCTTGAATTTGCAATTTTCCTGTCTCAGCCTTCCAAAGTGCTGGGATTACAGATAGGCACCACCACATCTGGCTCCGTTTACTTTTTAATCCTGAGTGAGTGGATCTGAACTAATCCAAAAGTCTTTGTGGGGCATGATTTGCTTTAAGTCATGTATGGCAGACTGGAATGGGAGAGACAATAAATATAGGGTGCTTTCATATTAAGAAAAACATCTCTTTCAGGTTCTGCATCACACTTTCTTCCCTTATGCTCTTGACCCAGAGGGTCACATCCCTCTCTCTGGACATCTGTGAGGGGAAAGTGGAGGCAACAACAGGAGGCATCAGGAGCAGGAGCTGTTTGTCTGAATGTCTGTGTGAGGCTCTGCCCTATTTCAGCTACTTGCTCTTTTTCCCTGCTCTGCTGGGAGGCCCTCTGTGTTCCTTCCAGAGATTTCAGGCTTGTGTTCAAGGGTCCAGCTCTTTCTGTGGCTACTCCTTCTGGGCTCTGACCTGGAGGGGCCTGCAGGTTGTTGGACTGGAGTGCTTAAAGGTGGCCCTGAGCAGCATGGTGAGTGCAGGAACAGGACTGGCCGACTGCCGGCAGCTGGAGTGCATATATGTCCTGTGGTCCACTGCTGGGCTCTTCAAACTCACCTACTACTCCCAGTGGATCCTGGATGATTGGCTCCTCCATGCAGCTGGCTTTGGGTCTGAGTCTGATCGGAGCACTGGTGAGGAGGGATATGTCCCTGACGCAGACATTTGGACACTGGAAACAACCCACAGGCTCTCCCTGTTCACGAGAAAGTGGAACCAGAGCACAGCCCGGTGGCTCCGCCGGCTGGTGTTCCAGCACAGCAGAGACTGGCCGCTACTGCAGACCTTTGCCTTCTCGGCCTGGTGGCATGGGCTCCACCCAGGACAGGTGTTTGGCTTCCTGTGCTGGGCTGTGATGGTAGAAGCTGACTACCTGATTCACACCTTTGCCAACTTATCTATCAGATCCTGGCCTATGAGGCTTCTCTACAGAGCTCTCACCTGGGCCTCCACCCAGCTTATTGTTGCCTACATAATGCTAGCTGTGGAAGGCAGGAGCCTCTCTTCTCTTGGGTCCCTGTGTAATTCCTGTATCAGTGTCTTTCCCATGGTATATTGTATTTTGCTTTTTTTATTAGTGAAGAGAAAGCACAAAGTTAACTGACATCTTTCCTTGTCTTTCATCTTATCCACTCAGGAAACAATTTAGAAATTGAGAGATAATGCACTGATACTGTATATGTTTCAAATTTTCCATAATAAAAGTTTTTGAGTATTGGGTGGATATACTTGATGACTTACATAAAAATCATCTGTCTACTTTAACAAGCTATTCTGCTGGTATTAAATTTACAAAACAAAAAGCACATGGCTTCTTCCCTTCAGGTTTATTTCTCTAGATGTGGAAGCAAAGTTTAAGAAAGGCAATACATAAAAACACAAGGTGGCTGGGGACATAGCTCAGTGGTAGAGAATTTGCCTAGCATGAACAAGGCCCTGGATTCCATCCCCAGCACTGCAAAAACAAAACAAAAACAACAGGCGATACTGTTAGCCACATAGTAAATGGTTATATACATCAATACCCCAAAATTGTCCAATTGGCCAACTTGGTCCTGGAATGTGAACTTTAGCAATAAGCATTAGTCAACTTTTCATCACTATTTTGAAATACCTGAGGCAGACTAACTTATGAAGAAAAGGAGGTTTACTTTGCTCTCTGGTTTTTTTTGGGGGGGGGGGTTACCGGGGATCAAACTTGGGACCTTGCCCTTGCATTTGTGAGGCAGGCGTCGGAACCATTGAGCTAAATTCCTGGCCCTGCTCTCAGTTTTTGAGGTTTGAAGTTCAAGATTGGGTAGCCCCATTGGCTTGCCTTCTGATAAGGGTCTAATGGTGCATCCAGGGTCTAATGTCACATCAAGGGAGGAGTGCTTGTGAGGACAGTGGATTACATCTCAAACAAGAAGCTGGAGAGTTGGTGGGGCCAAGATCCAGCTTTTGTAATGACTGCTGTGGAGAACGATCAAGGGACATGAGAACTACCTTAATCTCTTTGGAGGGGACGCTCTGAATTGACTTAAAACCTTCCCTTGGGGTCTACCTCTTCAAAGTTCCATTACCTCTGAACCTCCCAATATCACCACCCTAAGGACCAGGCCTCCAACCCATGGGCATGTAGGGGTCACTCAGACCATATCTAAGCCACAGCAAACACAAAACCAACTATATTATCACATTGGTTTGTTACATCACCACCCACAGGCATGAAAATTTTGGCCTAAACTTAGAAATTTGAAAATTTAGTCTAAAGATGGAAAAGTTTGTATCATTCCCAGAGTATAGGTGAAAATCCACCTAAGACTTGATAAGTACTTAAATAATCATTAAATACAAAACTGACTCAACATGTAACATACAAAGAGACAAATAGCAGGATGTAAATTCTGTGTAGCATAACTCTGAAGGTGGATCGCATTCCTTTTCCTTGGCATATCCTAAAAACTCCATTTGTTTCTTCCTTGGGGACATAGCTCAGTGGTAGAGCACTTGTCTAGTGTGTTCAAGGCCCTGGGTTTGATCCCCACAACCATAAAAACTAATAAATAAATCATGAAAAAATAAAACATCTGGGCTGGGGATTTAGCTCAGTGGTACTGCGCCTGCCTTGTAAGTGCAAGGTCCTGAGTTCAATCCCTGTACTAAACAAAAAAAACAAAAACAAAAACAAAAAGATCCTCCCAAAGAGAAAGGTATTGACACTGCCATGTAACACTGAAGCAATGCCTTTTAACTAATAGTTCACAGTACTGCCACATCTGTGGGCAGCTGTGCTATTATATAATTACTGTTCTTCTTCATATCAACTTTAAGTCCAATACTTTTCAAGATTTTTCTCCTTCTAGAAGTGACATGAAAATAGAAGAAAAAAATGTTGTACACAGGGAGGTGAGGGGGCTTGGGGGGGGATGGTATAAAATAAAAGAAAAAAGATTTCTCTCCTAAGCAATGGGAATTGATAAAACTGAGTTTTGTCTACTAATTATATTTTATTCTAGTATTTACTAGAAGAAACACCTGCTTGGTCAAATGGAAAAAAAAGTCTATTACTTAAAACTGTGTGGTTACTGACCGTGCTATCTCTCCCACCACAAAAAGCATTATACAGCAGTTGGGGGGTGTAGCTCAATGCGTGAGGCCCTGGGTTAATCTCTAGTACACACACACACACACACACACACACACACAGAGGATTACACAAGCATTTAAGCTTGTTATATGTTCCAAACCTAGCCTTTTCATCCTTTTCAAAATGTAAAATTGCAAGTAAGCTTTTAATCTTTAAATGTGACAAAAATAATACTAAGTCAGAAGTTACAGATCATTTAAAAAGTTATAGGTCAATGTGAGTAATTAACATCCAGGCAAAGAAATGTGATCCTAGCACACAGAGCCTTGCTTTACAAGCAGCAAGGGCCTTGAGGGACAGAGGCTGCATGAGTCTGTGGTATTCTTAGCCAGAACAGTGAAGGACCATCTCGCACCAAACTCAAAAGCTCAGAGGAGGCAAGTTGGACAAATTATTCCCAGACTTGGGAATAATCAAAGGGTGTCAAAGAACTCTAAGAACATTACAAACATGCTGCTGAAATGACTATCCTTAGACTAGCCCAGCAAGACAAGCAGGGTGATGGCAGTGGTACAAGGGAGGAGACTTAAAGTTGCAGCATTATTTTTTATAAAAAAAAATTATTCAACATTTAGGGGGATGGTGAAGCAAATTATGATTGACTATCAAAGAGCTATTAAAAATGAATGCCCTTCACAAGTGCAAGGTCCTGAGTTTGATCCATGGTACAAAAAAAAAAAATGAATGCCTTGGTGAACAGGTACTGGGGAAAAAATAAGAACCAAGGCATATCATGTACAGGCACAAGCACTCAATGATAAATGTAAATGTATTGTATACCTAGAATGTACCAATAAAAGAATTTAAGCAAAAAAAAAAAAAAAAAAAAAAAGAATGCCTTTCCAAGCATGGTAGTCCATGCCTGTAATCTCTGCACTCAGGAGGCTGAGGCAAAAGGATTTCTTCTAATTGGAGGCCAGCCTGGATACATAATGAATTCAAGACCCTGTCTAAAAATCAAAACAAATCGAAGCAAGCAAAACAAAAACAAAAAATAAATGCCTTGTATATGGGTCATCCCGAGAAGCTGTATGGGTGTGTTCAGTTTACGAAAATCCTTCAATTTGGCATTGGTATCACACTGTATGCTGCAATCTCAGCATTCAGAGAGGTTGAGGCAGGAAGACTGCGAGTTTGAGCCCACCTGGGCAAGTTAATGACTTAGCCATCCCTGTCTCAAAATAAAAAATAAAAGGGATGTGATTCAGTGAGAAGACTCCACTCTCAGTACTAAAAAAAAAATCCTTCAAGATGTATATTGATGTGTGAAGTTTGATATATATATGTTACACTTCAAAAAACTGAGTACTTTCAATGATTAGTGAAATGCTTCTAGGGAAATGTTAAAAATTTTAAAAAGAAGTTGTTTAATAGAACCTTTTAAAATGCAATCTGGCTTCCAACTTTACCTTACCAAAGGTAATTTCTAATTAAAGGTAATTTCAACCTCTGATGGATGGATAGGGGTGTGCACTTCTGCCCTTTCGATTTGCATCCTGTAGTGAGTATGTCACTTAGCTGGACAGAATAAAGAACAATGTTATTTAAGTGAATTGATCTAAGGAAAAATGTCAAGAGCCAGAGATGTGGAGCCAGGAACCATCTGTCTGCATAGCAGAGAACATGGGACCCCAGGATGGCAGGAGAAAAAATGAATGTGTCTTCCCCCAGCTCCCATTTCTTTTGTTGGAACATAACTCTTTCAGTTTTCCTCAGGTACAGCAGTTGACAACTTTAAATTTGTCCTCTATTACTGATTCTGCCTCTCCTAAACCCCTGTCCACTCTTCCAAATTTCCTTTGACTAGTTAGTTGCACCTCATTAAACTCTCTTATTAATTTGCTCTGACTTTGCTGCCAGAACTGAATTTGATATTTTCCTTCTCTTGCTTAAAATCTCCCTTCCCAGTGCCATGTTCTTAGACCTCCAAAACCATAAATAAATATTTTTAAGAGTTTCCTAGCCTCAGGTATTCTGTCATAGCATCAGGAAACAGACTCAGACAGAATAAATGACAATTGTTAGTGACTAAAATGCCAATTATTAGATCGCCCATTTAGGTCACTTCCAACAGATTCTTCTTTACAGTATTATAGAATACAAACTGATAGTGTAGGAAATTTGGTTCTCTATAGTCTCCGAGCTTAGCACTAAGAGGTGAAGGGACGGGTTACATTTAATCTGAACTTTTCCCAAAAATTCAACTGCACTTTTTGAAAAGCATTTCAAAAGACATGGTAAAGTGACTATTGCCAGTAGCATTTTATTTATCAACCAAATTATTGTTGATTCTGTTGTTGGCAAAGTTGCCCCTCTCTGAGAATCAGGTGGTTTGATTCAATCCCATTCTACTAACCATCAGTGGGACTCCAGTGATGCTTTCTTGGGGTCCAATTTTTCTAATGTACCAAAAATGGGGTGTGTGTCAAATATCCCTTTATTTAATTTTAAAACTGAAGACATGATTGTATAAGTGATTTGACAAGTTTTCAATACATTAAGTATGCAAAAGTAAGGCATTCTTCTCCAACTTGGCTCTCTGATCATTCAGCATGAATTTTATGAAGGAAAATGAAAGAAAATATGGGGAATGTCCACAGTTCATTATGAAGAAGTAGCATTTTCTATTATGTTTCTCCTATTGTCTTCATCACATAAAGAACAAAGTGATTCTTTGTGTGGCTCATTGAAAAACAGAGTACACACTTTGTATGGTGCTAATAAAACACCTAACTTCTCTTTCTTCCCTACTTTTAATTTCTCAGCCTGTATTTGGCAGCTAATCACATATATTCATGTGCTTTTGGGCCTCATTTCCAGAACCAATTCATAACAGTAGCTAGAGATGCCAGATTGTTTCTAAGGGAGTGTCTTTGCTTGCTTTATTTGTTTTTTTCTGCACTTATTTCTTTAGAAACACTTTTAAACTACCCTTGAGGTAATTATCTATCTATGTGTGCATTCCTTGCAGGGCATCTGTGCAGATCATGAAATC